CTATGACTTATTTATCATATATGCCTGCCACTACTATTAGCTTACTCGAGTACCGGTAGAGGAGATATCGAACAGAACCAAGTTTCTAACCCTAATTTCCCCGCTGCCCCTCTATACCGGTCAAGTCCCAATCCAGTCCACTCCTTATACCACTGCGCAATATATCCTCCACACATATCCGCCATGGCTTCCTTCCATCGGTTTACCAGATTTCGTCTTGATATCTGAAAGAGTATGGAAATTGAACCTGAGCCAGAATACTACAGTACAGGAGTATTGTCCTGATTAAGGGTGCCCGGACGAAAACTAGCAGTGGCGAGGTGTAAAATGTCCCAGCTTCAAGTAATGATGGAACTACCAGGAGCCATCGATGGCATGTCTAGAGCTGTTGTTAGGACAGCCCAGTACACAAAGCTTTAGAACTATTGGGGAGGAGTCGAAGACTTGTTTATGCTACTTTACCTATCTAATCCCGCGAGAGGTGAAATAGTTGAATTTCGGGTGAGGGCCTGGTCGGGTCTGCGATATATTTCTTCTTCTGTAACTCAGGATGAACTGAAACTCGGCATTTCCCGGATCAACCTACCCCCCTTGTGTGGAGGCGCGGGCTCTAGGAGCTTTAGCATGAGGCCCAATTATGCCAATCCTTATGGACAGCGAGTCATTCCTAGCATCATAGCATCTGTGGTGGGTATCGGGATATCCGGGGCTTTTAGTTCTACCTATTTTTGTTCAGATACTTTTGAATACCTACAGTGCAATAAGAGGTGTAGAAGTAGTTTGACCCGTAGGGAAGTGTACAGTACTCGATAATAAATCCCCGTGTTCCATAGCTTTTTAATGGATAAAAATATCTTCGCCCCCCCCCCCCCTACTCCTCTCACTCGCTCTCCCTAGTATTATCGGATTTTGTCATCTAGACCGAACTCTCTCATTTACCGCTGCTCCAGTATACATTCTGTATTACCGCGCAATACTTAATTTATCCTATCACCAATTTAGCCCCAGAGCATATTATTCATACAGTCACTAGACAAAAGTTTTGGTGATCGCTACCGGTGAGACAAAGTCTGTGCACTGAACAAGCACTGCTCCGGCATGGCATGAGTTGAATAGCTACCGTAGCTCAACGATATTGTGGGAGATTAAATCTTAAAGTTACTAGTAAAAGGGCAAATAATTCATCAAGAATACACTCTTGTAAATTTGTAAATCCTACAGGTACTTTATATACCTCTACTTAGCCTCAGGCTCTATCACACCATCCTTCATAAACTGCATAAACATTCACAGATTTCTAATGAAGCTGACAGATATCTATCAAGCCTCAGTTAGGACAACAAGCTTAAGATTCAAGATCCACAAACCTATGCCTGTGTGAGAAAACACTAAATAGTCAACTGTAGATAAGAAAAGATAGATACAGAATAGCTGTCTACTAGGAACATCAACCAAGGTGCTACTGGTGAAAATGACTTAAAAGACAAATAAAAGGCCTACAACCATAGCTCTCCCAGAACTTGTCCTCTCTTGGAGCTGTAGTGCTGTCTTTTTTAGGAGGAACTATTATGATAGGCAATGTAAAGAAAGCAGGCTTGAGTGTGGTGTGATTTCAAACGGGGGTGTTTTATCCTCGCTTAGCCATGGCTGACTAAGCTATCACCAAGACTTTTGTCTAGTGGCTGTACGTATTTCCCCTCACCTTACCATGCATATTCCTGTCCGCTCACGTTCTGTCATTTGCCCTTTTTTTCAGGTGCTCCCACACCCGGGCCACTATATGGCGGGGGTTGAGTATCAGGAATACTGGAGGGCCCGCCATTGTTTTCAGCACTATTCGAGGGAGAGGTCAGCGCAGACAATGAGAGATTGTTTGGAAGAGATACTCGCCCATGGATTCTTTCACTTAATGCATCCAATGCCTCCAACTGGCTCGGATCCTGCACCAGGTTCGCCCTGTAATCGTTGCGGCTTAGGGCCCGACCCTGGAATAGCTGCAGTGCACTGATTGCTGTCCCGGTCCTTCCATCTCCGTACCCGCAGTACACCAGCGTCGTCCCACCCCTGTCGTAGGAATTACGGATCTGATCGAACTGCTCCTGAGTCGGCGCGGTAGCCTCGGAAATCTTGATTTGCAAATACGCGATATTGGCAGCACGAAGCCTACCCCTCTGGCGTTGGGGTAGCTCTGAAGAGTTCAAACTGATAATGTTCCGTATACCGTGGCTGACCAGGAACTCGATTGAGTTCTCGTTAATCATCTGATCCGAATCCTCGTCGTCGTAGAATGGCGCAGACGAGCGTGCAAGGCGATAAGGAATCACCCACTCAAATCGTCTGAACACTGTGTCCTGAATGCAGAATTTCGCATGCCGAACCGACTGTCTGAGTTTATTTCGCAGACCCATATTTGGCTCCCATCCCCCCCCTCGTATTCCCTGAGACGGACGTCCTGTCCCTCTGCTGTGAACACTTCGTTCGTACCATACATGCTGATCACATATTTAGAACCGACGTTTAGTGTGTCGTTACCGCGTCCAGGGGGGAACATGATGCAGAGATGCTGGAGTTAGGTGTTAAGGGAGGAATGTGGGGTTACTTCGTATGTGGGAGGGCTATCCTGGTGTTGGCTGTAGGCGTTGAAGAGTGAATGGAGGCTTCCTCCAGGTCACCGGAGGGGGGTTCTTATACAGTTAAGTTAGGAGACACTTCTGTGGACTCCAGTTTATGACTGGGCCTCAAGACTATCTAAGTGAGGGGGCTGCATCTCGTTGGGTTGCGTGGTCTGCCACGTGGGCTGGCTGCGGGTGTGAAAAAATGATTTGTCTAGGGGGTTGGCGGTGCCTAATCCTTGCCGCATACTGTAGACCCATTGCAAACGCCGGTATTGTGTGCTCGAGCTTTTTGGGCAACCACAAAATGTAGTGATCACCGTGCCGATAGGTGGGCCTCTCCAATGTGCGGGTCATGTACCGGTATTGCAGAAAATAATGGGTAGCATATGGGGCTAAGCAGGCAGTTGTGAGGGGGATTTGGGGAGCTCCCCCTCGGGCTGTGGCTGACCAAAAGTGTTAGGAATTTCGTGGGAGGGCTCCGAAAGTTAATTCCGATCATGGAAACAATCATTTCAATGGCTAGACTCTCGGTTAAAGGAGTACCGGCATTGTTGGAGCGGAGGGGAGTTAAGGATCAAAACCAACTAAAGCTTTGGAACTCAGGTTGGTGAACAGCCAATTTGAGAAAGCGCCCTTTGGTGCCTGAATTGAAACAGCACTATGGCAAAAAACTAAAAAAACTACTAATTCGGAATACTCGTGACCTATCCCTCGCGCTTAGTACTCCTGCTCGTATATCTCTATTAAGTTACACAATCACCTTTAGTTCAGGTCCAACTGCCGGAAAGGCTCTGGGTTCATTCAGCATATCTAAAACAAAGAAACCTGCCTAGAATTTCCCTTGGCGAAACCCCCCCCCCCCCCTCCGAACTCTTGACACTAAGGCTCCCATCACAAAATTGAACTCTGCAGGTGCAACGGCCGAAACCCAAGTACCAGAGCATTTGAGCAGTGTCCAGCCAATAACCGATAACACGCATTTCTCGTCACGGGGAGAAATCTAGTTGATATTTCCTGATGCCAGCGCTTGGATTGTCCGGTACGAGTACTATATGTCCATAATCTTCCATGGCCCTTCACCTTCGCTAGCCCCATGAATCTAGCAGCTCCATTTAACCCTCCCGGCATATCCAATATGATATCATCCCCCGATGTTAAGCGAGTTGCCTCAACGGGGATCCCTTAAGTTTGATATGGCTTATTTAAATCGCGACAGGTCATAGGTTAGGATCTGCATATCAATTAGAAGATGTGCTGTAGACTATCAGTATAGCACTGTAGAGTTTGTGAGGCTTAGCCTTTATATTGGCCTACTTGTGGGGAAACTAGATGTATGGTATATCTGGATCACCGAATGGGTAGTTACCCTATGCCGGGGACCCAACTTCAAGCTTGCTTTCTTCCGGCCTTTCTAGGACCCACCACCCGCCAACAGAACTATAATATTTGAAAGTTTCTTGGGCACTCGAGGGTCCTGCACCAGCATGAGTGTGCGAGGGATTTAAGTGGTGGTAAGTTGACAAGTTGCACAGGTCGGTATGTGTAGGGTCCTAGTGAGGGTTAGGGGTTGAGGCTAGTGGACAACTCAATTTTTTCGCAATGTCAATACACCTTGGGCCTGTTTGGAAGCCATAATAATTCAGAGACCCTGGGAGCTTGCAGCGGAAAACCAAGGCTCCTCGGCAGTGTCAAAATCTAGTGTGTTTGGACATTCTTTTTGAAATCGCACTCCCTGTCACGCTCCCGCATTCACGGAAATCCCCCCATTTAGTGAGGCTAAGGAGGTGTTGGCAGACCGTGTGTTGAGATGACAGTGTGTTCTACACACGTCTTGTACCGGTTATCCTGCCCTAAATTTTACTTAACACCACATCTAACATGCTTTAACAGCTTTAAACATATTCAAGTAACACCGCTTGTCAGGAAGAACCGTGTGTAGAGCACGGTTGTCTCAGCACACGGTCTACCAAACAGCCCCTAAATCTATTAGATAAAATTGTAGAGATTTCAGGGAGGAGAGTGCGACACACCTTTCACCTGTATTCAAGTGACCCATCCTGTGCAATGCATCGCGCTTTAAGCATGTTTTTACACCGATTTCCACCAGGGATATCTTTTTGTATTACGGACTGCGGGAAAACAAGCCCATGAAATTCTGGGCCCTTTGTGCTGTGGTACAAGCTACGCCCATCTCAGAAGTCTCAATTTCCGAACCCCCAATCGGGCGCTCAATTCGTGCATGAGAAGCCTGCTTAAGCGGTGGCCAAGACGGGTGATTTGTAATCAGGTAGCTAGATGGAGCCAGAGACAGGTATGTGAAAGCTATCTTTTTCTTTCACCTACTGTATAACACCTTCCACTCAATGTTCTGGCTACCGTTCACCGATGTCTTCCACTACCAGCCCCGAGTTCAATCGCCTCGCAAGATTATCGCCTCTACATCCTGCTGGAATCCTTGAAAAGGCCGGAATAAAAGTCTGCATAGTCGGAACCGCTGCAGTAAGACACTTCGGTTCGAATCTCCTCATTGGCGACCTCGACCTCGTGATTGCTGATTACCAGTTCGACTTGGCACTTTCCCTTCTCCTGGGCCATGGCTATTGCGACATAGGTTTAGAGTCTTGCCAGTCTGGTATGATGCCAGCCACAGACAAACCTGGGGACTCGCTCTCCCGTCGACTGCATTTTCTACCATCCTCAGATATCGTCGTACTCTCTCCCGCTAGCCGCTGGCACCTGGACATCACTCCTGACACCACTTTCCTCCGGCGTGGTGACCCTTATCGATTCCCACATTTCCACGTCTATCTCCAAGGTGATCTACTATCCACACTCTACCGACATTGTAGGCATCATGAAGTATATTTTCTAACATTGCGGGATCCCGCGCACAGCTCTGATTAACATCATTGACACACTGGTATGCTCTGGAGATGGGTCGCTTCTCATTATGTACCAGTATACAATTATGGTACGGCTTGTGGAGCAAGAGCAAGAACTAGGGGCATTGATCTCGCCTGAAGATAGATTTTTCGTTGACTTCTTCCTGAAGCAGTTAGTGAGGGCCGGTAAGCTTAAAGTGCTGGAGCTGCGAAAGTGCATTATGGAAGGGGCTATCTCAGTTGAAGCAGCAAGGAGAATAGTCCCAAGGCCTGATTTGGCAAGGAAGGACATCAAAGAGAAGTATCTTCGACTTCGGATGGAGAGGGAGAATGATGGAAGCAAAAAACCAGCAACTTAGATCTATGACACATCCAGTAGTCCAGAAAACTTAAAAACAACAAGACACTGTCATACGAACATAGTCTAAATTTAAGATTTACTAGGCCATGTTTGGCGAATTGTTGCTGCTCAATTGTCATCAATTTTAATATCTTAGTGAGTCTACTCTAGTATGGTTCCAATTGAGGTCTTGCTCTTTTCGTTTTTGTCAAGAGGTGTGGGATTGGACCGGATTTAGATAGAAGATTGACTCCTTTCTTTCCAAAACTGACAAACGCCATATCATACGTATCGCGCATTGGCCATACCCTATGTCATGCTCACTTCTATTCCAAATGTGGCGTAGGGTTAAGTGAAGCTACCGGTGAGTGGTTGCATCAGCGGTATTTTCCTCTATGACACTTGCCGATGTTTTTGATATCCCCCTACACTGCCTCCATTTCTCTACCCTCCCCACTCGCAACCACTTCATTTTCCAATCTCTATTCAAACTTACCTTTTCACTGGAACCTTTTGGGGGGATTGAAGGTAGGTGGATATACAAATGATATCTGATAGAACCTAACACCCATGCCAGGCCTTCCCTAGTTTCCGAGCCACCCAACAGAATATCAAGAAGCATACATAGGAGACCATAATCCGCCCCACAAAGCCCCCTTAATGGCAACTTCATATGATGTGAGAATACGCGACGCGATTGCTGCGATAGGCAATCTCGATAGGCGGTTGAGAGAGGAATATATTCTCATCGGTGGAGCATCCCTCATCTGTCTCGGCTCTACCCGGGCCACATCAGACATCGACCTCTTAGTGCCGGGTACATCAATTGCTCTCATTGCCCCCAGCCTTGTTCAATCCCCCGACTTCTCATACCGGGCAGGGGCGATCTCTATCAAGGCAGGGGAAATAGAGTTCCCGGTTGACATTCTCGTCAAGGTTGTGGACGACCTGACCTTCGAAGACTTAGAACCGTTCACAATAACCATCCAGGACGGCATCAGGACATTGGACTTTCCGATCGCACTAGGAATAAAAATTCGGTGCTTCTACCTGCGGAACGATGAGACGAGTGCTGGCTTGGAGAAACAGCGATCTGACCTCTATGATATCCGTTTCATCTGCGGTAAGATGGAGGAGGCTAGCCGGGTGGTGGATGACATAGTTGCTAAGGCCATCCGAGTTGGCTGCTACAATATGGCGCTCGTCAAACACGCATTAGAGGAATCGGGGGACCTCGCTGTGTTCCTTTCTGTTGGTGGGACCAAGTTTCAGGTCCCCTGGGAGGAAGATACTGAGGATCAGCGTGAATATTTTGCACTTCTGGAAGCGGATGACGAGGAAATAGAAGGCCCGTCAGATGCTGGAGAGGAGGTAGGTGGCAATATCAATCCAAGACATTGGTGTTAGTTAGGGATTCCAACCTCGAAGACGGCTAAGAGTTTTTTTCAACCAGAGGAACTTACACTAACCCCATTCACTCCGGTTTCCGTCCGGGTGGGTGAGGTCGGAACACTGCCAGCAGGTAACGGCACGAATTTTGATTGCTCGTTTCTGCAAGGGGGCTTTTTTCTGGACTGTTCCTGGCGGTTTGGTGTCTAACACAACCTGCTTGTTATTTAGCGATAGCCCCGCCTTGTACTGTACCTAAATTTGCTTTTCCTACGACGGGGCCACCCCACGAACACAGCCCATGGTAACTCAACCAAGGACTATAAGGCGTGGACTCGAAATTTGGTCTTAGGCATAAGGCGACTCTTGATACTCACTTTGTATTACATCTCCCTCACTCCTTCCCACCGATGGTCTTACTCTGAATTCCATGCTATCTTTCCCCCTTACTGTATGTTTCTCATCCCAAACCTGATTCCAGTCCATACTGTTTGCTTTAATTTCCCGCCCTTTCGCTCATTCACTCCCAACAACTTCGAACACCATCCTTCAACAAATACCGACATGCTTTGATCGACTTTAAGGGGACCACGTCGGTAATGCAGCCCCAGGGTTCACTGAGGACACTTACTTCAGCTTCCCTGACCAACTGGTTTACCCCCAAAGCACAGCTTCTCGCAGATTGATCACAGACAACGGACACCCGGACCTAGTCTCCAGAAATCACTCTCCTCGCGGTTCGGGTAAAGGAATTGGACGTTGTTTGCTAAAACACATAAACTGGTTCCCAACTCTCTATCTGCTAGCTAGCTTTTTATCTCATCCTACCTGACAAACACCCGCTCCTTACAAACCTTTGCCGCCGGACTACAGAACTGAGGTCAACCCTCTGTTCATTTTAATGGCAGGATCCAACTGGCTCTTCCCTGAAAAGAAATGCTGCTGGTTACGTTGATGAGATGGATTTCACATCCATAGAAAAAGGACCAGTCAAGCGTTCGCATTTCCAGGTGGGCATATTTCGGGAATATTATTGTAAATCACCGGCACTCGGAGTAATTCCCATGTGACTATGTCCTATTTGGATTGAGGGGTATTGGGGAAGTCTCGGGAGCCAGCATTGATTTCCTATTTGTAATGCTGATGGGTCTGGTATTTTTCAAGAGGGGTAGAAGGTTCAGGAGCCTCTATAAAGTCCAGGTAACTTTGAGCAAGCATGAGAGGAAAGAAAATGTATAGCATGTGGAGGCAAGGAGGAAGACAGTTGGTTAAGAAAGTGAAGTAAGGAGAAGCTAAGAGAAGCATGAAGAAACACCGAGAAGAGGGGTAAGAGCGGGGTTGCCGAGATTGTGGTTGGAGGGCTTGAGGAATTCTCTTTTGTTGTCAAAGTATATAAGAGCAGATGGCTGTGCGGAGAAGAAAGAGACATCGCGGCAGACAACCTCACAGAACACGGAATACGAAATATTGATACCAGTGAGAAGCAGGAGCTTCCACTGCACGGAAAATAGAGACTATACGATACAAACTACAACAAATATGGCGGGGGATCACCCTCTCGTACGGTGTTTCAGACTCCCCCGACACTTGTTCTAGACCCACCGCTGGTGTTACGTCTCTCGTACCTGCTGGAGACCTTGGCGGAAATACCTATGTCACAAAAACTTTTAAGGATCTAACTTTTGGTGTGTTCGTAGCAAGTCCGTGGCCACCGTAGGGCAAATGTCGACCCGCCCAGTATCCTTCCCGATACAGACCTTGGCGGGATGCCAGAACCTAGAGAGCTTGACCTCGATCACTACCAATTCGCGGAGAAGGGTTTTGATGATGAGTACACCCTCGATCCTGCCATTCCTCTAAGGGTTTCTGTCAATGAGAAGGAGAAGATAACATTGGGGGAGATCATTTCTGCCTTTGAAAAGACTTTGGACTGCTATGTCATTGAGTACCTTCGGATTGCGGGCCGAGGCCAGTACGATTGCATCAGTGGGTGGGTCGAAATACCTGCCCTTCTGGGAAAGGACAGCCACGAGAAGGGCCGCATCCCGGACACTTCTCGATATAGCCCAACTCGTTTGACAGCTTGTTGAGAGACAAACACCCGAACGACAAGAGACCTAGTCTCGAAGGGTGTGAGGCCTCGGTGCCGGGTATGGAGGCGCTTGTTGGTAGGCCGGCCGATTACAGGGCCAAAGCCATCGTTGTCTGAATGCCACTCCGTCTTTACCTGAATCTCCTTTCTAGTGCCGAATGAAAACCAAACAAGAGGATTTTTCGAGGGTTCAACCGCACAGCCGAGCCAAGCGACGCGGGTTCTCGGGACGCAAAGCACGGCCTGGGGGCGAATTTAGAGCATCCCACGCCTTCAGAGAAACAGGTCCAGTTGTCTCTAAGTTAGTCGCTAGCCATTCACGCTTGGAAGCCGAAGGCCGTGTAGTCCTCGGTAAAGCTTGAGCGATCCAGCACCTCAACAACGACAAGATGAGCCACAATAGTGCCATGGGTTTGTGAGCACACGGAGAAGCGGCTTTCACTAGGAAGAGTGTTGTATATGAGTAGACGAGATAATGGGCTTCATGCCTTCCTGCTTATTCCATCCTGGGAAAACCATCCACCCGATCGTTAACAACCATTCTGGGTTCACCACTGAGCTTCTCTTCCTAGGTATACCCCGTGCCGTTCGGATATTGCAAATTGAATTGACGCATTAACTTTCCACTAAAACTCTGACCATGTCGAAGCTGTGACCTAGCTGTCAAATTTGTTTCTGAGCCCACCTCCTATTAGAGGGCAGAGTTCGAGGGACGTAGCTACCGTATTGACTTTGTTTGTTTCAAGCTAACCATAGTGGGGCAGATCAGCCTAGTTTTACTCAGCCACTCATGAATACTCGTAGAAAGGTTGCGGAGAAACAATCGACTCCCGATCGCTACATCACTAAGCCTCAGGGGGAAGGCACTTCCGGGAGGGCACTTTCACTGAGAACGTTGTCCAAGGCTACAAGGATTGGTTAGAAGGCGGCCCTGCCCGAAACCGCAAGCAGTCGAATGGACAGAAAATGCTCGGTATAGTCTATGCTCGAAAATAGTCTCGCTAAATACAAAGATTGTCAGCCCACTACTAGGGAATCATTGACCTCCGCTTGGAATGGTTCGATTTAAGAGAAGATATCGGGGAACGATGAGAAGGCAAGGAGTAGAATCATAGGCCTTACGATGCCAAAGGAGTTGCCGGCGTAGAGTTTGCCTCACCCCCCGATGCCTGTAGTTGTTGGCAAACATTGGCGACGTCATCTGTTTCGTCCTGAGAGGTTTAGTATCCACAGAAACCCGCACCGTATCCTTTCCAACCGCAAGAAGGCCGTTCAGTAGTAGTTATATGGGCGGTTGTGTGTGAGTATGGAGGTATATGTGAACATAAGGGAGTTTATTGTCTGTATGAAGTTATACTCCAGTTGTGGTGTTTGTATGGGGTTTTGCCCGGCGGCGGTATTCTCTATATATACCGACCATTAGTTAGCTGTTTGTCTGAATAATGAGCATCCTTTCTCTTCTCCGATCGGCTACACAAACGGACAGGTCCTTCCTCCATCATCAGAACCAGATCCGAGGTACCAACAGCGAAAAGGCTCCGCTCTACGCATCTCAATAACCAAACATCTGTCAGAATTGTAGTAGGTATAATTCACGAGTTAGCTAGTAGCGAGTTTGTATATCGTACAACCTCGGGGGGAGGGAAACAGGTGGGGCCGAGACGCGCTCCAATGAGTCTAGGTGGTCAAGCCTTGTAAGGGTTTGTGAGCAAGCCCCCCATAGGTAGCGTTGTTAGCACTAAGTCACTGAAAGTTGTGCAAGGGCACAACGCCGGAGATCGATGTGCCAGGAACGGCACTATGTAGTGCCCAGGCAATACACATATGGTTCTGGACGTCTTAAGTGTACACCTCAGAATTTGTGACGGGGGACGGCTTGGCATTCAGCCACAAGTTCAAAAAGTGAACAGATGTTCAAGTCCTGGACACAACATAGTTATTTTTAATATGTTCAAGCCACATATCATTATATTAAATATCAATAGATCATATCATGGTATATCATATAAATATTTATTTTCTTCAGATTTACAATCACTTCTTTTCTACCAATGATGTGTTATCATTTTCACCAAAATTACCCTCCCTGACACCTCATGTGGCTTGACAATTAATAAAAAACTCTAACCTTGCTGGGAATTGAACATAAGTATATTTTTTCTTTTGCCAAGCCGTCCCCCGTCACAAATTCTGAGGTGTACAGTTAAGACGTCCGGAACCATACAAATAAAATTATTCTCTCAAGGGAAAAAAAGAGAAGCTATCTACAAGCCCGATTCACACCGAGTATCACCCATTTCCCATCCCTGTGGGTCCTTGCCCCACTGAAGTACCCGAATATTCGCCATTTTTTGGCAATTGTATTGTGCCACTAGCAGGTTGTGCTATCAGCTAATCTCACTACACTCTGGCATTTCGTAGTGCCAACAACACTACCCATAGGGTGCGGCCCCCCCGGGTTAATCCAGGTCTTTTCTTGTGTGGCTCAACCCTGGTTACTTCATTAACCAAACAAACTTTCTCGGCCCGCCCCCTGCAGGATAATTTTTGACCATAAGAACAATAGCCAGGGTCACGGAACAGGAAATCCCATTTGCGAGGAACTGAAAGGTGAAAGAAACCTCCAAGATTAAGAGATTTGACGAGAAACACTAACCCTCTGAAATTCGGGCCGTCCACAGCTATAACTCGCTCTCCAGAGCTGAATATTTGACAGCCGTTCCACAACAAGCCCCCTTGTGCCTTGTTCTACAGAATCCTATCTCTCCCTCGCTGCCTTGCCCCCCCGGGCCTACTCGATAACATGCCCGGCAGGTGATCCGAGGACAAGCAAATAATCTGAAGCAGATTCTCAAACTGTCCGATCGATTGGCCACAGAGATTGGCCCCCCTCCGACAGCATAGTGATCTGTCAAATCCACCATCCATCCTACGAAACTTAAGCTCAACTCTAAATTTTCGACATTCTAAATCTAACCGTGGGCATACTCCTAACTCCGGCTTTACAGAGACACAAATTTAACAGCTTTTATTCCCACGAAATAGGTGCCGAGTATAAAACCGAAGAAACAGCTCACCCTCTCCGGCTGCCACGGGATGGGACCACCAGTCTCATCCTAATTCCGAATTTTATTATGGTAAATATCCAGTAAGTGTCTAACCATAAAAATAATGAATGCATAATTATTGAGCACTAAATCTCATGCGTGGCAGAGGCCGGCCGTGTATGGGATCTTCACTCTGGCATCCCGGGTCCGGCGGAACCTCAAAACACGCATACCACCCGTTCGCAGTGTTCCCAACCATCCGGGCACCCGGCGGGGGACTACAATGGACGGCGGTAGGACTGCGGGGGACTGCGGGGGATAACACATTATCCCGCAGCCAGTCTCAGATACGGTTGAAACATTGGTAGTCCTCGGTAGTCCGCCCTAGAGCCCCCGAAACAACTGACTACTATTTAGAGTCCGTCCCGTCTTATCTCAAAGACGGACGGCATTTTGTCGTCCCGTCCGGTCATTTTCTCAACATGCCCGACAGGTAGGAATGAAGGACCAGGACGGACTGCATGGTGTCGTCCCGTCCGGTCTTTTCCTAAACTTGCCCGACACATAAGAGTACAGGACCATCCACCGACAGTTCCCTGCCGTCACCCACAGTTCCCTGCCGTCACCCACAGTCACCCACCGTCCCCTGCCGTCCCTTAAACCCCCAGCCCTTCCCCACCGTCCCACACCGTCCCCCACCGTCCCCTACGATCCCCGGTGGTCCTATGTAGTCACCTGCCATCCCCTACCAGAAGTTGCCTCAGATCGTGGGGCTCATCGTCCTTCCTCATGACGGCCGTCCTAGGAGTTCAAGGACGAGGACGGACTATATGTTGCCGTCCCGTCCCGTCCCGGGCTCTTGGCAGTCCCTCCGTCGGGCCCTACGGGGGCCCCGGACGGTTGAGAACACTGGTTGGGAACACTGCTCGTTTGCCATATCCGTGAGGAGAAATTATCGGGACGGAGGCGAGTATAGCGTGGCCCACGGTCAATTCAAGCTCTCTGAGAGCAGCGACATTAGCCAAGGCAGGGGTGTTCAGGGCAAGTGCTACGGATGGAGTGTATACGGGGTGAGAATGAGATTAAAATCCCGCCACCCAATATTGAATTATCGGTTAACTCAGATCGATCCTCTCGCTCTCATTTTTCTCTAGGCTTAAAAAGATATCACCACATCTAAATATCTTAAGACTAGTCGCACCCCGTTGTTCCGGACCTCGCTCTCCCGGATTCTTCGCTGTTCCGGATTAATTTCTATGAATTATAAATTTCTTCACACCACCAAAACCAAACATGTTGTCCCGGATAACTCGCTGTCCCGGAGGGATTCTCAGGATTTTGGCCGTCCGGGACAACGGGGTGCGACTGTACTACAACGTTATCTTCCTCAGTTCATTTCGAATGCGGACTCAACGTGTGAGTAGGGTTAACCTAGTCAATGGGTCCGGTCAGGTCCACACATTTTCGACCCTGGCCAACACATTGGAAGGCTTGCACAGGTTGAAAAGAAGAGGATGCTTGATTCTCACCTTAACAGTGCCCACTCAAAACCGATTGGCCCACCGCGGTCCCGGAGCACCGGCGCCCAGTTCTCTTACATGGGTCAGGGCTGAGTCTTAGCTTTTCTATCTCCGAGCCTAATAAAAGGATGCATCTAGAGCCGTGGGAAATGCCCAACATGTCGAACCCGAATATTACTTAAACAAGACCCCACCCTTTTATAACCGGAGCGATAAAAAGCCCATGAGATCGACGCCGGCAGCCGGGAGCTGACGTAGGCTAAACTCCCTTGACGTTCGACTTCAAGTGAGTTTCCTTCGCCAACCGTGCCTAGGAGAAGAGGATATTGTCTTTACTGCACAAGATCTCAAACGGTATGCTGATAAAGTCCGGAGGGTTTCACAATAGGTGTCCGTTTACCTAACCGTTTGAGTCTAAGATTTATACTGTGAGAGTAGACAGTCACGTCAAAGTGAGGATTAAGTTACTGCTTACGGCTGAAAGCTTTTGCCTAATTTTCAATCCTCTAAAATTCATGGACCTAGACGGCGAAGGGTCCGTCCACTGCCA